TTTTGCTGCTTTTGTTTTACAAAATAGGCTTGAAATGTTTTTCGTCCCTGTCTTTTTCCACTCTAGATATGCTAGCTCTTGACTTTCCCTGTTTGTGCTGGAGGACTGAAGAGTGGCAGAAGTGCAAATAAATGAGAAGAGGGAGGAATTTCTATTTGGATTGGTTAAAATATTTTTATTTAAACAAGAAACATCTACAGTATTTAACACTAAGTGCTTATGAATGAGGTTCCTTGTGAAATTTTAAAATCCTCCATGCCTTCCATTGAGGGCTCTCAGTACAGTTCTTTAGTTGTCTGCCTAAAACAGAGAACAACATGTGACATTGTATTTCAACAGTACAAAAAAGTTGAATAAATTTTAACCACCCTCCCCACAATTTCTCAAAATTCGAGCTAAGCAAATAATTGATTTTTGGTTTGGCAGTTGAACTGAAAAATCCTGAAAAAAGATGAGTTTCAAATCAAAACTCATTTTTTTATCACTGAAACAAAAAAAAATCATCCCGGTTAAATAACGTGATTTGAGTGTTACGTTTCAGGGAAAAAATAGACAAATTATTCACTGAATTTGACTCAAATTTGTGAATAGTTTCAGTGCCCTGAAAAATCAATTTTTTGGCAAATTTACTATTCACCAAAAAAAATTTGCCCAGCTCTACTCATAATCTCTTAAACTCTTCAGACTCTCATCATACATCATTAAAAGTTAGTCAGCACAAACAAATTTCACCCCTATCCAGTGCAGTGTGATCTGGCGCCTCTCCCAAACTGCTATACAAGTATATGCATATTATTTAAATTGCAAATTTACCCTATTCCTGGTGCTTGTCTTCATTAATAAAGAAAACACAAATAAGAGAACCAAGATTAGAAGCAATGAAGCCTGGGGAGAAAGTTGAAGCTACAGCTCTTCTCTTGGGAGACCTCAGCCCACACCCTCCATCCTCTTTGCTCATGGAGCCATTCCCACCTCTTGTTCCCACAAGGATTAATGACTTTTTGGCTTGTGTGAGACAGTAGACCCCATTTAACCTTTTCCGAGTAGGATCAACAGATGCTACAGTGTGGGATATTTTAGGAAATTACTGCTATCCTATTAAATTTACCTTTTAAAATGTTTGTGTCCTTGTCTATGCTTTTTTTAAATTCAGTCCAGATAACATGAATAGAAACCAACACGAGAGCAGCTCTCTTTGCATGTATGGGGAAAGGGCCACACCTTGTGAAGACATGGAAGCTCTCCATGGGCCAACATCACAGATATATGCCATTTGCTCTAGTTCAGGGGTCGGCAACCTTTCAGACGTGGTGTGCCGAGTCTTCATTTATTCACTCTGATTTAAGGTTTTGCGTGCCGGTAATACATTTTAATATTTTTAGAAGGTTTCTTTCTATAAGTCTATAATATATAACTAAACTTGTTGTATGTAAAGTAAATAGCTTCTTAAATATTTTTAAAACCTTTCATTTAAAATTAAATTAAAATGCAGAGCCCCCCGGACCGGTGGCTAGGACCTGGGCAGTGTGAGTGCCACTGAAAATCAGCTCGTGTGCCGCCTTCTGCACGGATGCCATCGGTTGCCTACCCCTGCTCTAGTGCAATATAAATAGTCAGTGTGTTTTCTGTGTGCATACACAATGAAGAGTCCTTGTGGCACCTTAGAGACTAACAAATGTATTTGGGCATAAGCTTTCCACCACTTCATCAGATGCATGGAGTGAAAAATACAGAAAGCAGTATAAATATTACAGCACATGAAAAGATGGGAGTTGTCTTAACAAGTGGGACGTCAGTGCTACAGTGAGTCTTTTCCCGCATGATACTAACAACAGGGCCGGCTCCAGGTTTTTTGCCGCCTCAAGCAAAAAAAAAAAAAAAAAAGGGCCAGAGTGCCGCTCCTTGAAAAGTGCTGCCCCAAGCACATGCTTGGAATGCTGGTGCCTAGAGCCGGCCCTGACTAACAATTAGCAATATAGGTAACAAAGTATTATGTAGAAGCATTTATTGTGTTTCTTCCCTTACCTTGATGATGATTCCGAGTGTGGATCTTATGGGAGCTCCAGGTTATGATCACTTCCTTCAGGCAAAAGCTTCCTATCTGCTGTTGTCAGAAGCCTGACAAAGTGCAAGAGAGATGTCTAACTTGTGTGTGTCTGGCTTTCAGGCAGTGATCTAGAACATTAATTCTCTTTTGAACCAGTGTAAACCAGTAGGCAGCACAGATCTTAAACTTATTAATAAAATGGGTTTGTTTGAACCTAAACCTTTTTGAAATTCAGGGCATTGAATTGTGAATAAAATGTTCATAGAACCTGCTGCAAACAGTAATAGGGAGTGTTCACACTAGATCTAACTAAATTATTCTGGTCTCTGGGTCCAATATAATGAAAAAGTCCAAATGGGTTGGAAGATCCTAAAATGTTGGACAATCATTCTTTTCCTCTCTACTCATCCTCAATCATTCCTTTTCATTTTGTTTTTTTTTCTCAGCAGGTAAGTATTTAATTTAAAAACAAAAACAAAACAAAACTCACCTTTTCAATTAGTAGTATTTTAACAAGGTTATCAGAGGACTTGTTTTAAAATAAGATACTAGCTGTGTGACTGCAGGGCTTCTTTCCTTGATCTGTCATTCCTACTTTCCTCTCCCTGGTTGAGCCCTTATTTCTCCTCAAGTATTAAGTCAAATGTGTCTTGTAATTTCAGTTTAAATTGCTTTTGTCTTTCCATTATTCAATGATATAAGATTTAAGTGGTTAGAAGTTTAGATTTCTGGTAAACTTTGAACTGGATAACAAGTTTCCTAATGCTCAGAAACAGTAGATATTAGAGTAATAAGAAGCTACTGAAATTACTTTAAAGAGTTATGTTAAAAATCTATAACCACTTAGTGACAAAAATGGTGTAGAGTTTTGCCATTTTTCTGTGTCTAAATCCATCTGATTTAGGCCTCGAAATGCTACCAAAATGTAAAGGTCAAATAATAATATTAAACTGTCTGCCATGCTTATAGCTGCAAAACCTAGAAATCTGGCAAAGTATTTAAAGAAAAAAATGGGTTTTTGCTCCATGAAAAAAACTCAAGGGTATGGCTTTTTTTTTTTTTCTTTGTAGGAAGAGATTTCATATGGTAGTAAAACTTAAAAACATGTCAGAAGCTGGAATGCAAATTTTTTGTGAAATCAACGAAAAGGCAAATGTAGGTTTGCTCAATATGTAAACCACTGCTTTTGACACTGGGGGAGGGGCAACAAATAGAATACTTTAATTATCTGTACATTTAAAGAAATTGTCCCATTTTTTTAAAAGACGTACTCCCTTTTTCTCAGGCAGATGTTTGTGAGGTAATATAACTATCCTTATTAACTGATAAGTGAGGTCTAGGTAGCATTATCAGCAAAAATTAGCTGCATTACATGAAGAATAGCTGTATATTTGTAAGAAAATGCAATTTGTGGGAAGGGGGCGAGGAGCCTCCTACAAATTGTCTTTGTTTGCTACTAGCCTGGACATCAGTGGACTTGGATAGCATGCCACCAGTTCCCTGATCTAATTATTACATACAGCACTGGGTGGGAGTGCTGGTGGGGGTGTAAATGGGAGAAGTTGAGGAGGACAGAAAGTGATAAAAATGTTGCACATTTTAAAATGTGGTTGGTTATATGCAGTTTGAGCAATGTGAATTTGATTAGCCTTCAGAACAGATTATTTAATATAAATGATGTTTTTAGAAATCATTATATTGAAATTCAAACTTCATTACTTAAATGGTAATTTTTAACAATTTTAGTTTATTTTTATGGATACTGTGTTTTACCACTAGTTGCCTTCCCGCAGCTGTCAAATGATTATAACATGCTAAAGTAGTAAGTCAAGTAAAGCTGACAGCTTGTTGCAGAAGGAAATGAATGTATCTCTTCATGCTTGGTCAGTTTGACAGTGTTGCCAGAAAACATGGTTTTGAATCAAATAAGAATCACAATATATTTAAGAGTAATACAAATTTCCAGTCTTCCCTTAACTTTGAAAATCATTATTCTTGAAATCTGACATTTGGAAAATTGTTTTTTTTGTTTTGTTTTTTTATTATTATTGTTGTAAGTAGTTTTTCACATCGGTAGCTCCTGGGAATGTGTTACTGTCTGTTAGTTAATGAAGCATGGGATGCATGCTGTTTTATAAAACCCCTTTCCATTAAATCAAAAAGATATTGGTAGAAGCCATGGGAAGTATGCATGTATAAGCTCTTCCATTAAAATATTTTCTTTGGACTTGGTAAACATGTAATGTAATTGGTAAAAAGTGAAAGAAGCAAGATTAAGAACATATGAAAATCTGTTGAAAACACAAGAACCCATACATACAGCATGTAAGCAGTTTTTAATATCTTTGGCAATTCTGAATGGTGTCACTGAAAAATGATCTTTGTTTAACATGGATTGCCAGTATAACAAAGTAAGAGTTTAGTTTGGAAAAAAAGATTCGCAAGTAAAGAACAAGTAATACAAATAATTTCTAGATCATTAAACTTTTATTATCCTGAATAATTGGAAGGTGTATACTGTATTACTGTTAATATTAACAGATTTATATCTGCTTTTTGTGATGCATTTTCTGAAACATAGATTAATTGCAACCTGTTAAAACATTAATGCTGCTGCCTAGAAGAATAAATCATACCAGATAAATGAACAAAATGACATGCTAATAGTAGCGTGTAGTAAATACTTTGATTTGTTCTTTTAGGTTGAAAAAATGATTCCCTACCCTATCCCAGTTTTACATTACTAATGGTAATAACATTCAAGATATAAATTTGTGGCTTAAATGTATGAAAACATTTCAAAACCAGCAGAAAATACAAAATATAGTTTAATGATAGATTCTGTTTTGCTTGCCTGCCCTTCCGTCATATAATACAATAAACAGATCGTGTGACATGCAATTTTTATTATTCATTTAAAATATACATGTTTCAAGTCACTTTTTTTTTCCAGAGTACTTTCAAATTTAAATCTGAGAGTGATATTCATCTGGCTGAGCACCACAAACAAGTTCTATATGATGGGAAACTTGCAAGTAGTATTGCCTTTACTTACAATGCTAAGGCTACTGATGCTCAACTATGCCTTGAATCCTCGCCAAAGGAAAACCCTTCAATTTTTGTACACTCTCCACATGCTCTTATGCTTCAGGTTCGTTTATATTGGTTCTTTATTTTCATGTTTTTGTTAATGTAGCTTACAGCAATACAGGCTGCCAAAGTGTGATTGAGAGTCTGTTTCTAATTAGTAGTATTATCTTTTAGTGTGTGTGTAGTCTTTCCGAGGTATCCATTGGCCCCTTTGACACCTCATCTGACTGAGGCTGTCATTTTCTCCATTTAACCCATGGATTTTCCTTCCTTTTGTACTGGCTAACATTTCTGTATCTTTCCTTCAGCATGAAGGACAGCAAACACTGTCGCTTCTATGGCTATCATCAACTATATAACCTATTAATTGTTTGAGGTGCATTGTTTAGCAAGATGTATGTAACTATACTTCTCCAGAAGTATCTCGTTTGTAGGCCAAACTCTGCTAACACAAAAATTCTGCAATCTCTCCCCAATCTACATCTTGTATGATGATATAGTATGGTGCTGCCATTGCTGTTTTCATTTAGCATTGCTTTAGTTCTAGATTAACATTTGTTTGTTTTTAAATATGAGTAGCTATCATTCGCACCTAGCTACTTTTTCACTTGTTTTCTTGAGCCAAAATTATTAATGATGCATTAAAGAAATGTGTGTATTACGGAATGAACAGTAGTTTGTCAAATTATATGTTGAGGGCTATCAGTTTAATGCTTGCCTATTTTCCAGCCCAGTCATTTTGAGCGAAATATATAGGTAATGAAACCAAGAAGTTTGAATAGGTCCAGTTTTAAATTAAAATTGACCAACTAAAGCATTCTGTGGTTAAAGCATTTTTAATAGGGCTGTGGATTAATTGCAGTTAACTCGTGGATTAATTGCAGTTAACTCATGCAATTAATTCAAAAAAATTAATCGCGATTAATCGCAGTTTTAATCACACTGTTAAACAATACAATACCAATTTAAATGTATTAAATATTTTTGGATGTTTTTCTACATTTTCAAATATATTGATTTCAATTACAACACAGAATACAAAGTGTGCACTGCTCACTTTATATTATTATTTTTTATTACAAATATTTGCGCTGTAAAATGATAAACAAAAGAAATAGTATTTTTCAATTCACCTGATGCAAGTACCGTAGTGCAATGTCTTTATTGTGAAAGTGTAATTTACAAATGTAGATTTTTTTGTTACATAACTACACACAAAATCAAAACAATGTAAAACTTTAGACTCTACAAGTCCACTCAGTCCTACTTCTCGTTCAGTCAATCGCTAAGACAAACATATTTGTTTACATTTATGGGAGATAATGCTGCCCTCTTCTTATTTACAATGTCACCTGAAAGCGAGAACAGGCATTCACATGGAACTTTTGTAGCCGGCATTGCAAGGTATTTACGTGCCAAATACGCCAACATTCATATGCCCTTTCGGCCACCATTACAGAGGACATGCTTCCATGCATATGACACTTGTTTAAAAAAAATGTATTTATTCAATTTGTGACCCAATTCTCCCCCAAGGAGTTCAATGTCCCCTGCTCTGTTTTACCCACATTCTGCCATATCTTTCATGTTATAGCAGTCTCAGATGATGATTCAGCACATGTTGTTCCTTTTAAGAACACTTTCAGTGCAGATTTGACAAAATGCAAAGAAGGTACCGATGTGAGATTTCTAAAGATAGCTACTGCACTTGACCCAAGGTTTAAGAATCTGAAGTGCCTTCCAAAATCTGAGCAGGACGAGGTGTGGAGCATGCTGTCAGATGTCTTAAAAGAGCAACACTCCAATGGCGAAACTACAGACTCCGAACCACCAAAAACGGAAAATCAACCTGTTGCTGGTGGCATCTGACTCAGATGATGAAAATGAACATGGGTTGGTCTGCACTGCTTTGGATTGTTTTTGAGCAGAACCCATCATCAGCATGGACACGTACTCTGTAATGGTGGTTGAAGCATGAGGGGACATATGGATCTTTAGCGCATCTGGCATGTAAATATCTTGTGACACTGGCTACAACAGTGCCATGCGAACACCTGTTCTCATTTTCAAGTGACATTGTGAACAAGAAGTGAGCAGCATTATCTCCTGCAAATGTAAACAAACTTGTTTCTCTGAACGATTGGCTGAACAAGAAATAGGACTGAGTAGGCTCTAAAGTTTTACATTATTTTATTTTTGAATGCAGTTTTTTTGTACATAATTCTACATTTGTAAGTTCAACTTTCATGATACAGATTGCACTGTAGTACTTGTATGAGGTGAATTGAAGAACTATCTTTTGGTTTTTTACAGCGCACATATTTGTAATAAAAATATAAAGTGAGCACTGTACACTTTGTATTCTGTGTTGTGATTAATATCAATATATATGAAAATGTAGAAAACATCCAAAAATATTTAAATTAATAGTATTATAATATTGTTTAATTGTGCTTAATTTTTTTTAACTGCTTGACAGCCCTAATTTTTTAATAACACCTTTTGTGGCAAAATGGCCACAGGAACCTTACAGTATGTGTTACCTGTACAGACTTTGTGTGAAACATAACTTTGTGGTGTTTGTTTACATATTTGGATGGCTTTAAGTTATGAAAAGAGATTATAGCATTTAGACTAAATTGACAGAAAATAAAAAGCACAGTAAATCATTTGTCTTTGAAGCGCCATTGGTAACTAGTTTTTAAATATTAGACATTTATGGTAAAATGTGATAATGGCAGATACAAACTAACACTGAGAAACTTTTTTTTGATTTTTAATATAGGATGTGAAAGCTATAGTAACCCACTCAATTCACAGTGCAATTCATTCGATTGGAGGGATTCAGGTTCTTTTTCCTCTCTTTGCCCAGTTAGACAATCGACAACTAAATGACAGTCAAATGGAAACAACTGTCTGGTAAGCTTATTTCAAGCAATTTACATAAAGTATGCTAGCAACATTTTTCTTTCTCTTGTTGTAATTTGGTTAATATAAATGCAGTGAGTGACTCATGTGCGCTCTTCTTTCTGTTTCTAGCATGAAAACATCAACTTTTTAAATGGCATTTACCACTGACTTTTATTTTTCCTGGAAGTGCTCCACCCCTGCCATGCCCCTACTCTGCCTCTTCCTCCAAGGCCCCACCCTCGCTCCACCTCTTCCCATCCCCACTCCAACCCCTCCCCTGAGGCCCCTGGCACTAGCTGCTCTCCGCCCTCCCCCTGCTGCCAAACAGCTGTGACTGGTGGGTGCTGAGCACCCACTATTTTTTTCCCATGGGTATGAGAGTCCCGGAGCATAGAGTCGGCACCTAAGGCATTTACCATGGTACTGTATAATATCGTGCTGAAGAATGCTTTTAAACTAAAGGAAATTCCATAGGAAAATGAAACTAATGTAGTGCACTAAACATGGAGTTCAATCTACCAGGGGTGCATGTACAAAGTATGTATAGTTTGTTAATGCTGTAGGTCTTGCTTAATTAAAATTCTCCTTTAGTTGGCCTACTATCCCAAATTAACAAAGGACATGGCTCTGGTGAATAAATCTGTTGGAGAAGACTGCACATGCTGTATCAGGATAGAGAGGAGGACCCTGGTCTATTAGCCATAGGCACAGCTCTGAGTTATCCAGAATGATGGCTGTGGCTCAGTGCATATCATTAGTGTTGAAGGGCTTGAGCTGTTAGTCAGCCAACACAGATATGACAGTATACTTTGAGAACTGCCTCTGTGTTTCCCCATGTGTAAGATATGTACAACGGGGATGCTGATATTCAAGAATCTTCTAGAAAACAATGTCTTGCTGGGTGGGTAGGAGCACTCCCCCTCATGGATTTGAATGTTTAGAGTCTGCACAAGTGCTGTGCAACTCAAACCTCTTTCCAGGGCTAATCGCATAGGGGCCTTCTTCCCCTGCCCGGAACGTTGGCCAGATGTTTTTTTAATCAACTCTTTTGTGTATTTTATTGTAATTAATCGCTGTGAATAATTTCTAGTCATTTTAGATAGTTCTTTAGGAAGTGTATAAATTGTAAAATTTTCTGCTCTGTTGTATGTTTTTAATTCTTAGACACACAAAATGCACTTCAGGATTAGAATAAATGGGAAATCAGACTTTCAGTTATTTGTAAGTTCAGTGGTATTTTTGAAATAGTGGTTAACTGAAGAATGGTTAAACTAGTGTTAAAGTAACACCAAACTTTTGACAGACTGTGGAAAATCTTAAATTTTGTGTTCATTTCAGTTGTAAGATAAATGTCCTATATTTCATTCTATTTTTAGCAGCAAGGCCAGTGTGGTGATGTAGTGGCAAATTGTATGCTCCCTTTATAGTGAGCACCTTAAGCACCTTTCACTTGAATTGGGTACTGAAATAGAAATGATTTCCAAAAACAGTATTGAAAATTCCTATATTCAATGTGTATGTTTTCCAGTACATAGATATAAATTAATCACTGGATTTTCCCTGAAATAACTATACTCTGTCTGTACCATGTGATATTGATTTGCCCCCTGCCCCTGCGCTAATCCCTCCATGTTTTACCCAGATAGAGTAGTTGTGTACTTCCCTAGGTGGGATACTCACTTATTGCTAACATAGATTTAATTGTGCTTTGCATATGATGAATTTTACTTTGCAGTTTGTAAATGCAGAAATGAAAAAATGCTTGGTTTGAAGTAACTGAAGGGAGTATTTATTTATCTGTGAACTTAATAGCATAGAAATAAACAAAATGACCCATTCTAGTTTTAGGAAGCTTTAGATATGACAAAACCTACTTTATATTAAATTTATTAAACTTATTTTGTAGACAGTAAAATAATAAATTGCCCTGACTCTTCTGTTTGAAGCACTTAAGTGAGATTATAATGTGAGTTTTAGAAAACCCTCTTTCACTCTGTGGTTTCCCTAGTGAAAACACTAAATCCAATTTTAAATGCATATGGCTGTTTATGGAGTTAGTGTAACTTTGACGAGAAAGACATTTGCTCTAATTGAATCAGGCAATACATTCCTTTTTTTTAAGGTATTGACGTTCTTATGGAATCAGATTATTATTTAATTTCTAATCAGAATCTGGAATCTATCACGCTAAACACTATGCAAACATCCTGTACCAAGATGCAGTCACTGTTCTGAAGAGCAAATAATAAAAAAGACTCAAACAGATGACAGATTGGGGTAAGAGATGTAACAAAAATGATCGAGCTGGTGATTGTTACACATTATATTTTTATTTTACATTTTTATAGGATAGAGGTGGGATGAGGATTATGGCAGGATAGGGGAATTAAAATAAACAAGGATGTAGGAAAATGAAAGAAGGGGAGAAGGGACATTGAGGAGAATGGAAAAGTCAGATGGGGAAAGGCACTAGAGAGGGAAGGATGTGGAGGCATAGACATTAGGGAGACTAAGGCTTGCTGTGTGGCAGGATTGTGATGGAGAGGAGAGTGTCCCTTACCTATATAACTTTTGTTAACTTTCCTTATTTTCTATTTTGTAAAGTTTAGCTTCTTGTGTATTTCACTTTTTACCCAGTTGCTACTTTTTCAAAATTTTATAATTGATTTTCCCTAATTCAAATTTTTAATCTTTGCCTATTTTCTGTTTAAACATAAATGTAATCAATACCTTGTCTGTCCTATGTAAATTTATAAAGAGAGATTATTACAATATGTTTAACAAAATAGCATTCTTTCAAACAAAACAGTTAAGCCCCATCTTCGTAAAAAGCAAATAGGCCAGAACATAACGTGTATTATCTCCCTGAAGAAAGTAAGTCCAAATGACTTTTGATGTCACCAAACCTTTTGCTTTGTAAAGACCGGCTACAATTGCTTTCACCTCTCTCTCTTTCTCCGGGGGCGGGGCAAATTGGGTGACTCTTTTGTAAGTGGGCCCTGATGTCTCTTGCCTTGTAGCTGGGAGACCTCAAGGTGGGCTGATGCTCCAAAACAAATATTGTAGGCTTCCAACCTTTTTTCCCTTTTATTTTCTCAAAGAATCAAAATCTGTTTAATAAATTCAAGTCCTTTTGAAATCTATTTTTCTAGATTTAAAGGGCTGGGTAAAGATTTATGGTCCCAACAAGGTTCCTACATTAAATTTTATTCTCTTTGACATACTGATACCTTAATTTCCCCAAAAATGATAGATTTAGTATGAATAAAATGTTTAATTACTGTGCTGGGCAATCCTACCTCAGCAACCCAATGGCCTGCTGATATTCTTGTTCAGTTCATTATTGTCCCATAGCTCTGTCTTATCTGTTCCAGTCTTGTGAGCGGGCCAAGTAATGAAATATCCAACAATTTTGCTGTCTAAACACTGTAGAGATTCTTGTACTTATCTGCTCAGAGAAGAGAGCAGCAGAAAAATGTGAACTGCAGTCTACACTAAACTCAGTTGTTGGTCTAATTTGAGACCATCCATCATTCAGTGTCTTTTTCAGAAGGGGGAACTTGAACGCTAACAATTTCTTCTTTTCCTCTTGCTTCTCAGAGATAGTAGTTATAGTAGAAAATTCTGCAGCTTGTCAGAGATATTTATCTACCAGCAAGAGAGGTATTATGCTACATATTTTGTGGTACAGCTGTAGATCCTTTTGATAATATATATTGGGATTATAATATCAGAGGATTAACATTGTTCAGCAATGCTCTGATATTTGTGTCACTGTTGGTATTAATTCAGGTGTACTTCTCATCATTGACATTAATATTGAATTTGACAGTGTATGAAGTGTAATCTTCTATGCTAACTCAATTTCTGTGCAAATCATAGGTGACAAATTCTAATTCAGATGATTTTTCTGGTTTTGCTGATAATGATTCAGTACATCTGGAGAAAAATCCTGAAAGAAGTAGGAGGATTAAAATTGTTTGATAGACTAGATTAGGGTTAAAGCATTTAGAGGCAAAATAAGACTTGGACCCAATCTTTCATACACTTATTCTAGAAATGGCAGTCCAGGATTGCAGACTACATACTTTAGACAGAGGAAATCAAGAAGAATCAGAAAGATATCACATATGTGGGAAGTAAATAAAATAACTAGAGTTGTTAAAGTTTTCTAAATACTGATTTTAGACAAAGCAGAGATGAATTTGTTGCAAAAAAAAAAAATTCATCCCCTTTTTCAAACACCTCTAGTAATAGCATTCTTCTGTATTTTTAGCTCAGTCAGTCCAGATTGAAATGATGTTGTCTGCCTCTTGAGAGAGAAGTGTGAATGAAAAAAAAATGACAGCCTTGCATCCATGTTTCTGTTCTTTCTTTATCTCCACCTCTGAATAGTTTCCAGTGTCTGCCCTGCCTTCGTCAATCAAATATCTTGCAGTATCAGTGATTTTTCTAGGCTTTTTGTGTTTGTTTTTTCTTTGTTCCTGTCTTTGCAGTTTGCAGTTATACCTCATGTATTGGATAGCTTTAGGAGCACGGGAAGAACAAAATGGGGAGGGGTGAAGATAGGAAATGTCATTTGTGTCTCAAACTTTTACCATAGGTTGGTTTCTTTTAATCTGCTAGTCTACAGCAACACTGTTAAGAGCATACTTGTTCTGATCTGGGTTTTGGAAATTTTTTCTATCACTAATATGTCCCACTCATTGACGTGGTCATGGAAATAATGAGAGAGACACACCACAATATGATTAAATATGGAGACCGGAACTTTATTTAAAACTATTACCTTTCCTGGGGTAACAACCCCAAGCTACCTGACAGGGTTGTTCCATTGCAGTTCTCCACTGGCTCTAATGGCCCCAGGCACTACAAACCTGTGGGTGGATATGAAGGCCATGCTCCCTCTACACCTTCAAGCCTAGCCAGGGACCCAGACTGGAAGTCAGTCTGGTCCCATCCCACTTCTCTAATGCTGGAGATAGGAGACATGAAAGGAGCGGAGTTGC